TCCTTGGTTACGCCGATATACGACATCCAAACTCCAACCCCGGTCCACACCGTGTATTTTTCTTAATAATTCTTCATCTCAATGTGCATATAAATGTTTAAATCCTACCACTAATCGTTTGTACTTATCTCGACATGTCAAATTTTTTGAGAATCACTTTCCCCTTCAAAATCGCAATAAATCTCATGCGTACACTAACTGTATTCGAGAAGCTTTCTATGCTGGTACTTCACAAGACAATGAGGATTATACCATTCCTTTGTCCAACCCGCCAGCCTCCCCTTCTCCCGATATTACTTATTCCTCAAATCCAATCTCTTATACCCAACATCTTCCGACAACTAGTTCCCCCTGTTAATGTACATGAAAATCTTGCCCCTTCAACCCCTTCATCTTCATCTCCTTCATCCCCTCCTCCTACACCTTCCACCCAATCTCCACAAATATCTTCCTCTCCAATACAACCCAATTCACAGTCTACTCCATCACGCCCAATTCGTGTAAAAAAACTAAATCTGATGTGATCATAAATGGACCATTATGTGTCATACCTAACCATGATGATCATTACATTGATTGTGATCACATAGGGGGTATATGGTATCATATTGAGGTCGGCATCAAGGATGATGGAAGATTGAAGCCAAAGAACAGTTCGCATCAAGCCAAATTCAAGTCGACAATGAAGTTGGCTAGGTGCCTTCGAGCTCTTGGTCGAGGTAAACAACTCGACAACAAAGCCAATAGCATGGTGTCGAGCAGGCTGTTGGTCGACAACAAAGTCGACAGGATTGCGTTGAGCAGACTGTTGGTCGACGACAAGGTCGACAGCGCGTGGCAGAATTTTTCCAACTTTCCTATTTCAATTAGGAAAAGGCTTTTCCCATAATTTTACAATTATGACCAACTCTCCAAGCATTATAGAAGCTGCTAGAATGTTTAAAATAATTGTGACATGTGCAATTTATTTATTTAATTATTATTTTAGTTATTTTTAGAATTTTAGGAAACTTTTAGCCCAAGAAATCCAAATAAGAGTTCAAATTGGATTTCTCTTTGTATTGGCCGACCTAGGCAGCTCCTTGGCCTATAAATAGGGGCCTTGGTCGTGACTTTTAAATACAATATGACATGACTTCAATAATAAAGAATTTTATTCATAAACTTGTGAGATCTCTCCTTGTTTTCTTATTCTTGCGAGAATAACTTGCTTTTCCAACAAACTAGGGTTTGTTCTTGAAGCCTAGCTAAACTTGGCCAAGTTTTCAAGTGCTCTTGGTCCATGGATGCTTTATTTAACATTTTAGTTGAGCACACCAAGCCTTTCAAAGTCGATCTATAACGTGTCGGGAGCTTCAGGTCATTTTGACTAGGGTTTCAAATCTTAAACACCTTCTCCATCTTTCCTTCCCTTCCATCACGTTTTTAGCTTGGATTTTTGTTGGTCCAGCTGTTCTTTTTCGTGATTTGTGTGCTTGCATAGGTTTTACTTCATGGTTATACAAAGATTCAAACATCCGGGCAACTTTTCAAGTCAAGCTTCTGCATAATCTCGACTCGGATAAAGATTCATATCAAAATCCCAAATATTTTAATGACAAATACATTAACCTCACCACTAAACACCCCCTACCTATTACCCTTGAGCCTACTACTGTGACGCAGGCTATCAAAGATCCCCTTTGGCGAAAGGCAATGGATGACGAGTTTAATGCTTTGTTGCATAATGGTACGTGGGAATTGGTACCGCCATCATCGCATGTCCCTATTGGTTGCAAGTGGGTTTTTCGTATCAAATGTGAGCCTGATGGTTCTATTGAAAAGTACAAAGCCGTCTTGTTGCAAAGGGTTTCCTCTAAGAATCCGGGCATGATTATTTTGAGACCTTTAGTCCTGTTACTAAGCCTATTATGATTCGTACTGTTCTATGTCTTGCATTATCGCAGAACTGGCCATTATGCCAATTGGATGTCAACAATGCTTTTTTACATAGAACTTTACATGAAGATGTCTACATGGTTCAACCTCGTGGTTACATCCTCAGTCCCACATCATCTTTGTAAACTCCACAAGGCGCTTTACGGTCTCAAGCAAGCTCCTCGAGCTTGATATACCCTTGCTTCGGATTTTCGCAAGTCACTTGTTGATACTTCACTCTTTATATATGACCGCAATGGCATCATTGCTTACTTTCTGGTTTATGCTGATGATATTGTGCTCACGGGTAACAATTCCAAGTTTTTGGATAGCTTTGTTCACAGGTTGGCTAAAAGATTTTCTATTAAGGATTTGGGCCCTTTGCACCATTTTCTGGGTATTGAAGTCATTTCTACTCCCTCGGGATTATTTCTCTCACAGTATCGCCATATTGCTGATATTCTCAAAAAGCATAATATGGATGGAGCAAAAGAGGTTGCTATGCCTCTTAGTTTTGTTGAGACTTACGCATTGGTTGATGGTTCTCCCCAAATAGATGCTATATCTTATCGCAGTCTTGTTGACTCTTTGCAATAATTGGCAATCACTCGCCCTGATGTGTCATTTGCCATCAACTAGCTGTCTCAGTTCATGCATGCTCCCACACAATTACACATGTAGGCATTAAAAAGAGTGCTTCGCTACTTAAAAGGTTTAATTCATCATGGCCCTTTTCTAAAGCGCGATTCTTCTCTCTCTCTTACAGCTTTTTCCGATTCCGATTGGGGTGGTGTTCAAGATCGTGGACGTTCTACTACTGCTTATGTAAAAAAATTATATCTTGGGTCTAACATCATCTCTTGGAAGTCAGCCCGTAAAAATAAAAAATCAGTTTCTCGATCATCCATTGAGGCTGAGTATAGGGCTTTAGCCAATGCAGCAGCGGAGGTAATTTTGGTTCAGAATTTATTACATGAACTTAGTCTCTCTATCAAACAACCTCCGACCTTATTTTGCGACAGTACTGGTGCAACATATTTATGTGCTAATCCTGTTTATCACTCCCGTATGAAGCATTTAGAGCTTGATTATCACTTTGTTTGAGAACGAGTCTCTACTGGTTCATTACGAGTTCTACAGATTAGCTCCAAAGATCAACTTGCTGATATGCTTACCAAACCTCTGAGCCGCATTCCATTTCTTCGTTTTCGTTCCAAGATTGGAGTCTCCGATGGATCCTCCCTCTTGCGGGGGCGTGTCAAGGGTTAGGATATCAACTGAAGATTTGATTTTCAAAATCAAATATTATTTTTGTAACTTATTATCTTATCTTAGATATTATATGTATCCTAACTACTTCCTACTTTGATGTAACCTCATGTATATATGTATTACTCTATACTCAATGAAAGTGCGCCATTCAGAATCTTCAATCTTCTATATGGTAAAATTCAAACTTCTCTATAGGGTGTCCATTAGATTTAAGTTTTGATCCAACCATGAGATAATCGGGTAGTCCAATTGATGTAACTTTAATATTGCAAGTTGGAACAATATGGTTGAACTCTACTTTTGGTCTATGGCTCCGGCCTTTAGGGATTGATCGTCAAAACAAATATCAGTGTACTATTCCCAAGTCTCAACCAAACATTCTATTGAAAAGAGGGCTGATAATATCATTTGTTCATTGTCACAAGAAAGCCTGGACTCCAATTTCTTATTAAGCTAATAAAATGAATAGCGGGTACTATCTTTGCTTGTGGTGCATTCTGTCAGAAATAGTGGCATGGCATCCCATGTGATTACGAATTTGACACATATTACGAGAATCTAAGAAGAAAACAAAAAGGGGAAAGTGATGTTAGCCTTTTGGGTACACAAAGAACACAATTAAGACCGTCAGTGTCGAGTGTTGAAATTTCCATAAGAAACAGGCTAGCTCTAGTTTTGGTTGCTTCATTTTCTCACTACTAAAATACATCTTCGCTTTGCTATGCTTCCTTTGCTTAACTGGAATAAGTAACAGAAACGAGAACTTTCAAACTGGTGGGTCAAAAAAAGAGTTATTCAACCGTCACTGGGGACCGAAATGCAAAAATTGCAGCTGCCAGATACCTCCATTAAGGAAAGTCCGGCCGCCCGGTGGTCGATTCACCCCCTTGACCACCCTTAATTCCGTCCAGCTTCATTCGCATCTCTACATCCTCCACGTTTATTTCTAAAATGGCTGCATAGATACTGTAACAGTGGCGGAAAGCATGAATGGATTCAACAAGGTGCAAGATGAAGTGTGGAGCGACTGTGGTTTCCGTTCAATAGACTAGATACAGTAGTATTCTCTCCGCCCAGAAATTATTGTCCAGTTTGAATTTTCATTATTAGTACAAAATGAACTAAAATAAAAAATTCAAATTGCACAATAATTTTGGGACGTAGGAAGTTATGTTTAATGAGATCATATATATGAATTGCACAGTTCGCATAACTTATAAAGTCAGTTCATTCTCAAAATTTTAATCCACATTTAAGAAGATAAATAAAAGGGACTTCATACTTCCATAGGGCAATAGAAATATAAACTGAGGCCGGCAGGACGAAGAGGTTACCCAAAAAATATAGTAACGACTGTTTTTTCTTCAGAATCAATGGGAGGCTACACCTGCTTATCATTAATCAAGAATGTTTCCTTTTTGCACTCTAATAATGGTTGTTACTTTTTCCCTCATTTATCGTTCCTTAAAAAAGAAGGCAAATCAAAGGGAAGTTATCTTGCTTCCAAATCCCAGGCTATATAGATTCGGGAAATTGCTCACTGAAGTTCAATTTGTAATGCAGCGGTATAGATCCAACGTTTTTGGCGGTGGCTGTGATCGTTGGTAATATATTAGTACGAGGGAGTGTAAAATAATATCACAAAAATATATGACTTAAAAGACAATAAAAGAAAGGGTGAAAGAAAGATGTAGAGAAAGGTAAAATATATCACTCAAAATACCTATAACTTCATTGGGTTTCCGACTATATCACTGAAAAAACTAAACTAAACTAGAATACAAAATTTAATCGCTTCCCTTAGAATAATCATGTGGAACGATCTTCCATCTGATCTCTTGGCCCAAATTCTCTCCTTCCTACCTGCAGACGCGTTAGCTTGTGCTAAATCAGTCAGCCGAAATTGGAACCGATGTCCCGACGACTACTTGGACATGCTCGAGTGCCGGCGGCAGTGTAATCATCCGCCCTGGTTCATCACCGCCCTGATTCATTTACAATTTGTTTTAAATAGATACTTTTGATTTATTTCGTAAACATAATCTTCCTCAATTGTCAATAAAATCGATAAATAAATTATTCTAGTTAAAAAATAAAATTAGTTAAAAATATTTTTTATTCATAGTATCATTTTCCTTTTTAAAATCAAGTATAACTAATAGCATGTTAATAAATACAATACATGTTTATATTAATTTCTCTCTATTAAATTTATGGCTTAATAACAATTATTATGAAAAATAACATTTATTATATAGGTTTTACGACCATTATTCATATAATGAATAAGTAATATGTGTAACTTTCAAATAATTTTGAATTCAACTTAATCAATTTATTTGTTTATAACTGAAAAATAAAAAAAATACATAAATATATCAACTACATATGGAGTTTATGATATTTATTATTTTTTATAGATATTATTATATTAAAACGTATCTTATGATACGATACACGATACGATACTCGTATCATAAATCTATGTTTTTGATACACGATACGTATCCCGCTTTGATAACTATGGTCCTCCGCACCAAAACCCAATTGAAAAACATCGAAACTACACGTTATCTCTTGATTTTATTCATACCGAAATTCAACACGTTTGTACAATTGGCGACGGCCTTGTTCTGTTGTGGTCTAAAATTAGCTGGACTGAAATTGAATTGGGAATATGCAACCCTTTTACTCGGGAATTCAGGTTCCTGCCGGGGCCCCGGGAACTAATCCCATGGCATGACGAGCTCGAAATTATGAATGTAGCTGTGGGCGTGGTGGGAGAACTATCAATGGACTCGGGTCAATTCCAAATTCGGATTTTTGTTGTGGCCGGTGCAGAGAATCTGGCACGGAGCAAAAATGGCTCTGGCTATGACTTCACAACGCATATGTATGACTCACACAGTGATTTGTGGGCGATTGTTGGTCCCGTGCCAAAGAAATATTTAGCAAGCCTAAGTGAGAGGAAGATCGATGGCGAGGGTTTGTACGCCAATGGGGTGTTGTACTGGATAAACTCAGTCGGCGGCAGGGGGCGATATACCCTAATTGCATTGGAGATCACCACACACAAATGGAAAGAATCGTGCCTTCCGACTAAAGAGAGGATTTGTTTTTAACCTTTAGGGTGAAGAAAAGGGAAGCTGATGCTTATTGGAGGCAAATATGGTTGCGAAGCACATGTGTGGGAGCTAGGAGAAGGCGGTAGCTAGTGTTTGATTGACAAGGTTCCCTCTGAGTTGTGGAAGAAGTTATTCTTTAAATCCAAATCCGTTTGGAGCGATGAGAAGGTGTGCTTCTTGACGAAGCCTGGAATTATGATTTCGGTCTAGAAGTGGAACTCCGATTAGGGTTTCCTACAAAACAGAGCCTCGGGAGTCTTCCGAAGGTAGACACTCTGATGCTTAAGTCAGAAAATAGGGTTATGGAGTAATGTGTGTATGCGTGTTGGAGCTAGAGATAGCGTACCTCAATTGTAGTGAGATCAACCCTATTTATAGACATGTAATTACCTTGAGGGAAGCCGAATCCCATTAGGGTTCTTATTCCCGAACCGCCTCTGCAAGGTCGGTTATGCCATAATTGGTGGATGGCCCGGTCCGGTAATCCTTGGTGGACATGGACTCGTCAAGTGGCCTTGTCAAGTGTTAGTTTGTATGAAATAAATAAGACTCGACACAAAACAAAACTGACCTGGACTCGGCCCAAGTTTAATGGACAAGTCTCAGCCCAATCTGCAGGATATGGACCAGATGAATTACTTGCGTGTTGAAACTCGAACCGAGAAGGCAACTAGCTTCAGAATCCCGCCCAACTGAAATCGTGCCCCAGCAATGCACACAGTTTCCAAGCGACAACCGTGTTATCATTGCTGCCCCTTAAACTCTGCCTAAACTGTCAAGTCGTGGGGGAGATGGATTGTCTTTATTAACGAAAAAAGTCCCAGAGCTTTTTCTTACTAATTTCGCCTTCCAAAAAATACACAGCAAAAAAATTCTCCAAAGCTCTCTGTTTTTTCTGCCGCTCCAATACCGACTTCTACCGGAACTGCTCACGCGCATCCGTCACTGGAAAAACCCAATTCTGCTATAGACGAGGAGATTTCCCATCCTGTGCGGATATAATTCAAAAGATCAAACCCGTAACCTGATTAAAGTGAGTCCTCAACCTTCCTATTATTGAATTTCTATTTTTCGTTTGCTTGAATCTGGTTGTTGTTGCATATATTGTGGTAGACATGGCTGAAAAAACCGTACCTGACTTCGCATCCACCATAGATTCCACCCAAAAAGTCAGGGCAGTAGCTGAGTAATACAATTTACCTGTAGATCTAAAATATCGAGCCCCAATAGGAAATGAAAGGGCTAACACTCCACCAGATGGAAAAATCACTGTTTATGATAGATTCATGTTTCTAGGGCTTAGATTCCTCCTTTTCCCTCTATTTGGAGTAATAGTCCAGCACTTTCACGAATTTACCCCGAATTTGATAACCACTGTTCTCGGATATGTGAGATTGTGTGAGTTAGTGAAGGTAAAGCCGCGATTACTCGTGTGGAGGTACTTCTCTAAAGTCTGTGTTCCCTCAACCAAGTTTAAAGATTGGTATAATGTGAAGAGGAACTTGAAATCAAAATCATCACAGATAGTGAAGCTTTTCGATGGGTCTCCACTGTGGAAACCTGATCTATATGTGAAAGCTCCCTAGGAGCTCTACGTAGCCTGGGATGATCGAGAAACAAATGAGTTGGAGTTATTGTCGATGACTGGACCAAAACAGATAAGTCCAAAATTGAGAAGTATAGGTCTGATATCAACACCATCGAGAAGTATGAAAACTTAATTCTCTGGACCGACGTGCAGCATTACATTCCTCTGATTCCTATTGAGGAAAAAGAAGGTACTAACTCCCCTTTTACTGCCTTTTGTTTTAGGTCATGTCGTCGAGCAATACCTCCGTTGGATTGTTTGGTGATCCCAATAAAATTCAGATGATGAAAGTTCCTCTACGAGAGTGGGGAAGAAGAAGAGGAAAGTGAGGAGACTTGTCAAAGCAGCAAATGCAGAAGCTAGAAAGAAGAACAAGGATGACCAGTACGCTGAGAAGGAAAGTTTGCTTGAAAAAGAAGTTACTCCTCGGGAGTTTATGCCCCCGGTGGTCGAGGCGCTTAAAGAAAATCCTGAAGGCTTGATCCATGGGGGTGACCTTGCTATGGAGATTGATCTTGAACAGTTCACGGTGCCAAAACCTCCGTTGGAGAAGCTGAAAGACACCGTTGAGGGCACCGTGAATTCCCCCGGGTCTTTGAGTTACACTGCCGCAGCTGCCATATACCACTTTGGGGATGCCAGGATCGAGTGCCCCATTCTCGAGGAAAACACAGCAGCTATGACCGAGGAGGACACTCTAAAGCTGGTAAGTGTGACTGTACTTTGACAGATGTAACATACAACATTTTCACTTTCTGAATATCTTTGGGCTTTGCAGATGAATACCTCGATGATCAGTTTTTTGCTCCGCCAAAGGAAATTGAAAGAGGAACTTAACAGGTCAGATCTCGAGAGGAAGCTCATAGAGCATGAAAAATTGACTCAAGAGGATGCTTGGAAGAAGGAGCAGCTGGAACTTGCTGCCAAGAAAGAGGAGCTGGCTCTGCAGGCAAGGTACAACGAGCTGGAAAATAAAATGAAGGAATATGGGGAATCCCATATTTCGAAGACAGGATGTTGCCCACTGGTGGAATGGCAAATGTGATGCTTGGCGTCAGCGAAGTAGCCAAACAATTGGTCGTCCACAGTCTAGTTGTCCTTGCGCTCGAGAGGATGGAGTCAGGTAGAACCATTACCGCTGGCTGGCTGAAACAATTTATAAGGAAAGATCCTTGTCGTGCTCTTCATGAAGAAATGAAGAAAGGGTTAATGCATCTCTCGACAGCGCAACTCCCCTTTTTTGCCGCTTTGATGCTGTCACGCAAATGAGTTTCCCTGATGAGATCGCCTCCTTCCCCAGTGACGCCTCTACAATCGTGATGGCTGACCCCAGCGAGGAATTGCCAGAACTTCCCAAAAATTCATTGGAGTCAAGTTGGTCTCTGATGACGACTCCTCGGAGGAAGCTGACGATGGCGGTAGCAAGGACAAGGAACCAAAGGTAGAGAAGGAAACTGGATCGACCCAAACGCCAGTCGAGGAAACTGAGAGTCAGCCGACCAACCCTCATAACCACGACACTGTATTAAACTCTCCTTTGTAATAAGGTTTCTTTCAGGTCGTAGATCCTCATTTTGTAATGCTATTTTGAGAAGTTTCCTAAAACAACTTTTTCTTTTGTCCACAGTGACCCTCCTCCCCTTGATAGAGTGTATATATATATATTAATCCATTTTCGTTGCTCATGATAGGAATCGTACTTTGTTCATTAGGTGCATCTGATGATCCTGATGAGAATCAAGCTAGAAATTTTCCCATCTATGCTACGATCTCTTCGGCAATGAGAAAATTGGAGAACATCCACGACATTTCTGTAGCGAGGACTCTTGAGAAGGACATCATGGATGCTATCCAAGCATACAATCTGCAGATACACTCTCGGTTGGTACAACGTTTCAGACAGAAGGAGGAAGAATATCAACGCTGCCTCCATCAGTATGATCTCGACTACCAAGACTCTCTGATCCTTGAGGCAAACGTAAGCGAGGAGATGGCTCAATTAAAAAAAGAGAACGCTCAGTTGAAGCATCGTGAAGGAATTATACTATCCCTGTGGTTCCTCGAGAAGTTCAACATTTCGCTTGTCGAGAAGCAGATACAAGTCAGGACAAATTGTTTTGTCGCTGCAATAGAGCTGCTGAAGAAGAGGACCAAGAAGTCGAGTTTTTCTCAAAGCAATCCATTGTCTTGTAGAACATACTGGTCGATCGGAAAATCCCGCTTCCCATTCTCCAGGACTTGGATGAGGACGGAGAAGCCAAAGAGAGGACGGCTGCCGAGGAATATCTGCTTAGGCTTGATGAACAAGACTGAGAGTCTGTTGACCTGAAGGACAAGCTAAACCAGTGTATCAACAAGCTTAGAGTGTTAGGATTGTCAGGTTTCATTAAGCCATCTCGATTCAACCCTAGGGGGGAAGATCTTAACGTTTAAGGATAGATAGGTGTATGTATCCTCCCTCGCACACGATGTGAGGGTGATGCGATTTATTTAAGCCTTTGACGGCGTCGTTAAAAATATTCTTATACTCGAGTATCAATTTATATGGCGCTTGATGGCCAGATATAAAGTACACGGCTCTCTCGATGGAACCGGATACGGGTTCCCCGATGTTAAGGTACCACAATCTACCGCAAGTACGAGGAGAAATCCTCAGTTTTTGTGTCAGGATGTTGAATACACTGCTCAATTCAAGAATGGCCCTGAAAAGGGTGTCCATCTCATAGACTAATCATAATATAGTGTTGACACATTCAAAATATGAAAAATATGTAATGACTTTTATTGAATAATTATCCGAGGACCCGGGTTAGCATTACATATAAAGAAATAAAAACAACAAGTCACAAAGAGCAAGTAATTTTAGCATGTAGCAGGGAAAATATTAGACATAGAACCTGTATAGGTTCTGAATGTTCCACCATCAAGGGAGGATGTTTCCTGTGTCATCTGTTGTCTGCAGGCGATAACTGCCAGAAGGGGAAGCCTGGATGACTCGATAAGGTTCTTCCCAATTTTCTAATAACTTGTCAGGAGTCTCTGCTTGACTGGCTTTATTCTTCCTAAGTACCAAGTCTCCGACCGCGAGGTCAGTGCTTTTGACTCGCTTATTGTAGTACTTTCTTGGGATTTTTGTTTTTAGCTTCTCGGATTTTAACGGTGTCTCGTCGTTCCTCGAGCAGATTAAAGTTAGTTAGGATATCTTCATTGTTGGTGTCTTCGATAAAATTGATGGTTCGAGAACTAGCGAGACCAATCTTGACTGGGAGTACAGCGTCTATACCGTAGACCAAACTGTAAGGAGTTTCATCAGTCGGGGAGTGAGCTATAGTGCGATAGGTCCATAGGACATATGATAGTTCGTCGACCCATGCCCCTTTGGCATTTTGCAACCTGGTATTGATTCCCA